GTAATTTAGGATAAAATGGAACAGAAAATCATCTAAACATTAATGAACTTAAAATACATAAAAACCCCCACAGTTCCCCTGCATTTATACTGACTGACTTGTCATTCAACACAGTGCTGCTCACCTCTTCAGCTGGGAGACAGGGCTGGTTCAGTTGGAAGGGGTATAGGGATGGGGAGACAGAGCCGGATCACTGGAAATTAGACAGTAATATAACTCATATAAAACACTATTTAAGCTTGAACCTATTAAGTAGCTTTAGTTGCAAGGTGTTTAAGCGAAGACAACTAAATTACAGTGTCTGCAGAGTGTACCCTTCAATCATATCCAGTTGTGTGATCGTACATGACTCATCCAGAATTATGAGCTGTTATGATCCTGGGAGTGTATGGTGTTTATTTTGTGCTCTTCTTTTTTAATGTAATCACTTTTCCCTTAGGGCTGGAGTCTGGAAGGCTCTGATTTGGTACAGCATGGGGCGCGCCAGTTACTTATGGGCCGGTAAGGCACTGCAGAAGGAGAGAGGGCTGTTCCAGTGGTCACACCTGTGCCATCAGCCTCAACCTGACCAGACCAAGCACCCGAAGCTTTTGTTTGTGCACTCATGTGTTACTGTTGTATGAGTTTGCCTAATACTTGTAAAGCTCTCTCTTTGTAAGTAAGGGGGTAAATATCCTATTTTTTGTATTGTTTTCTCCTGGTTTGGGACATGGAGGTAGCCTTAACATTGTTATTTAGTTTTGAGTTAGATGAGTTTAGTTATCTTTTTGTTTCTAGTTTGTTTTTGGCATTATCTCAAATGAAATTCATCTCTTCTATAAGGTCATCTGCATTTGACCAGTTTAAAACTAGACTTACCAGCTTTTACAAGATGGTGCCTGTAACTCATACAAGTTAAAAGAAATAAATGCTGATAATTGGTCAATTATTTGTAGTTGGTGGTGTCTTGGTCTGGCAGTTGGATGGCCGTTGGCTCATTTTTTTTAAGGTACGGCCTTAAATTTTCCTCTAGACCTTGGAGGTCATAACATAAAATGGGGGGCTCGATTCATATTTTAGTGCATTTGAGTGTGTTGCTACAGCTTTAGGCTCAGGAAGCATGTACTGCTTTGTCCATAGTTCAAAGTATGGATTATCATTATGTAAATGCTGCTGTTTTGCGTGCCTATGAGTTCCTGAAGCTTATAGACAAAAGTTTCCTGCTCATGCAAAAACCTCCAGCCATACCTATGTAGAATTCGCTCGGGAAAAGGGAGCGCTTTCTGATAAATGGCTTGCTGCTTGTAAGATGACTTCTTTTGATAAATTGCGAGAATTAATATTGCTAGAAGAGTTTAAATGTTGTTTGCCAGAGAGAATCGTTGTTCATCTAAATGAGCAAAGGGTCACCTCGTTATGTGATTCTGCTGTCTTAGCTGACGTATTTGTCTAGACTCATAAATCCATGTTTTTTCCGTTGTCAGCACGCAGTGACCATGTTGTTGTTGACCACTGTCTGCTGTCTGGCGGACGAAATTTGTGAAACCGTTTTTTTGGTGTTAGTCCTATTCAGTCTGGCTCTGAGGAGTCATGTCAGCTCTGTTATTGAATTGTCCTGTCTTGGCAAAGAAGGAGCGGAGGAAGTTGTCTCCGCCTCGTAAAAGTGTTACCCTGGTTTAAACTGGTTTCAGTGTGAATGATTTGGGTTTTAGTTTTGTAAGGCCGAAGTCTATATATAATTTTCATGGCTAAGGTGATGACGCCCAGTTATACATTTCCCCTCCTTCTTATAATAAAGACTCTGAGACAGACTGACCAGCTGTGTGTCAGATATTTCTTAGTGGATGCCACAAAATTTTCTAGGACCAAATCACAAAAAAAACACAAATACTGATCATTGGCACAAAAACTGAGAGAAAGCTGCTTTATGGGAAACTTGGTTCTTTAGCTTCATATACCAAACCTGAAGTAGGGAACCTACGTGTGATCGTCAACTCTGAGCATTGTTTTGTCCTGCATGTAAACACAATCACTAAAATAGTTTTATATCATTTGAGGAATATTGTGAAAGTTCGGCCTTTTCTATCTCAGAGTGACACAGAGAAACTTGTTCATACATTTATTACAAGCAGAGTTGATTACTGTGTCCCTTGGACCGTTTAGAGCATAGAACACCCATGTAGAGAATAGTTCAACCATATAGGGGAAAGTGTACCAATTTCTTGAAAAGTGTACCCTACTGGGGTAAGTGCACCCATTTAGTGTAAAGCGCACTCGAGTAGTGGAAAGTAAAACAGTTAAAATGAAAGTGCACACTTTTAAGGGAAAATGGCACCCGTTTTTGAGGATAGTAAAGCTGTTTAGGGGACATTACAACTATTAAAAGGAAAGTACACCCATCGGGGGGATAAAACACCCATTTACTTGACAGTAAAACGGTTAAGATGTCAGTGGAACTGTTTTTAGGAAAGTTCACCCATTTTGGGGTTAGTACAACCGTTTAAACGAAAAAACTAGTTTTTCTTCAAGGTATGGGCCTTGAATTTGTAAACATTAATTTCAGACAAATTAAGACCTTTTAGGAACCAACAGACACCTTATAAATGTACATGGAACAGAAGCTTATGTTTGTCATTAGAGTATGAAATTACACAGGTACATACATATACACTCCTACACTCACATACACACTCATGTCCATGTATATGAGTTGGTCCTCTACATAGTTTCCATTCTCAAACTGAAAAAAAAACTCTCATTCTTTTTTCTTGATGCTTTTCTGCTTTTAGTCCTTATTAGATTTCTTGCTTCTCTTGTTATTTCTTGTATGCTTCCTCCTTCTTCTGTCATCATCAGTTGATGAGTTTGATTCAGACTCTGAGCTTGTGTCAAAGCCGTGTTCTGAGCTCAGAATTAGTTATACATCAGTTACAGTACTGCTTCAGTGTCTACACGTGTGTTTATAGCCTGTGGTCATCTTTATTACTGTAAGGACCACCACAACACAGTGATGACTGATCACAGGTCCACTCAATCAAACAGGGACAGAATATTTATTAAGCTTCATTTTTAGAAATACTGAAATTTGATTTGTTTGTGTGAGTGCTGTCACCAGATTATGGCCAACCAAGTTATTAAGCTCCACCTCATTTTCTCAGCCCTCCGCTCACTGCTTTGCCAAATGCTCCTCTCCGCCATTGCCTTGAGCCAAAAATGTGAAGGTCTGAAAATTTAGCTTGAAGTGCTCTTTAACTACAAACACTAAAATGAACTGAATCAAAATGTCAAAGCAAATGTTTACTTCAGTGCATCAAATCATTAAAAGTAAGACATGAGTATTTTTAAGCCCACTGTGGCAGTATGCTTTAGCCTGGGATGGTTAGGTTTTTAAGTTTAGCATGTTGTTTTTCCTTGTCTTTGTACATCTCAGCTGTATGACTGTTTTAACTCAGTTATGTTGTCTTCATTTGGGCAGAAGTTGTGCCTGTGGTGAGGAGACACGTGTGTGAGGGGTGCCGTTGTGTTGTGTTTATGTGAATCCTGCATTCTGGTTGATGTGTCACACAGTCTTGCTATTGTTTTGAACCAGGACGCAAATATTGCAAAAGGTATAATGATGACAGCACTGCTGTTAGCAATAAACTATAGCCTGGTGTAATAGCTCTGTGGTAAATAGGCCTACCCAAAAGTTTCTGCCTATCGCCCTGGTGTCCAATTTTAATTTAAAACAGTAAAAATACATGCAAAGTTGAAAGTTAATCCAAGTCCTAATGAAATGAGGTTGACAGCAAGTTTTGGACGTGTTGTCAAATATTGAAAGTTCATATCATTTTTTCTCTGTCATGATTTTAGCATGTAGCTAGACTATGGCTCAGTACGGGTTAGTGACTGTTCTCCCTGCCCCCACCCTGTGTTTAAATATTTCCGTAGGTTCAGCTCCCCCTTCAAATGTTTGAGCACTCCTGTAAAACCAATTCTGGTGCTGATCTTGGTGATAGAAACATGGCAGCTTACAGGAGCTCACAAAAGTTCCACATGCTGATCCATTTTACTGACCAACATACATGCACACACCAGGGGGCAGATTTAAAAGACTTAACATCGCAATAGTCTCTGAATGGATCACCAGCAAGATGTTTGGTTCAATAGGGTTCAAGGTTAACACATCAGTAATTAACTAAAGTAGATTAGTCTTCTAAACCTCTCAACATTCAAAAGGCTGCTGTTCTGATCCAACCTTCCTTTTGCACTTCCAACTTTTTTAGAAGTGAATTTTCAGCCTGAAGCTCATCAATGCTCTCTTGGAGAACTTCAACTCTGTTCTTCCACTGAAGACCTGCCTGGGTCATTGGCTTGTTCACTGTAACTGCAAGAAAGGGACAGTAAATTATTGGATAAACAATTAATAGAAATAACAAGCATACAAGAAACACAAACACAGATTTAAACAGAGGAGGGGTTCCTTTTTAATAATTAAAAGTCATTTTCTTATTGGTGAGGGGCAATGTTTTTTTTTATTATTATTATTATTTCGTTATTTTCATTTATTTAGTTAGTATTTTTTTTTTCATTCATTTATTTTGAGTGGAGCCCATAACATTCTACACCAAAATGGAACTGGTTTTTGAATTGCTTGGTGTAACAGTGAAGTCGCAAAAAATTGTTTCAGGCAACTCACAACATGCAACTAGTTGCATGAATATTTAGATATTTACATTCATGGCATTTGGCAGATGCTCTTGTCCAGAGCAAGTCACAATTTGATCATTTTAAACAGGTAGGTGAAGGTGATGTTAGGAGTCCTGCCCAAGGACTATTGATATAGTGTAGGGTGCTTACCCAGGCCAGCCTACTACTGCTACTACTACGATTCCTACTACTACTAATAATAATAGTAATAATAATTGCTGTTTTTGTAGCTATAAATGAGGCATTATTTTACTTACAGCTGTGAGACGTCATTTACTGTATGTATAGTTTTTACAGTCCTAAACACTGTACTTTGGACATTAGACTTTTTATCAATGAATTAATGATGGTGACAAGTGCAAGAAAAACTCATTTCAGTCAGTTTGCTAATAAAATGACACTTTCAGATGAAAGTTATTTTATTTATTCAGCTCTAAGGCTCTTCATGCTGTTTATTGATACACAGACATTACAGAAGTTACAGTACAATCTATTCTAATCTATAACATTTATCACATATTATCTGAGAGCACAGCTGAGAAATTAAATGTAGGAAATTTACGTAATTGTTTCCAGACAGTAAATTTACAATATTTCTGTTACTCCAGTAAGAGATAAATCACTGAGAGAGGAGCAGCAGACGGTTCAGATGAAGAGGATGGAGGAGATCAGAGGGACCAGCATGATGAGGAGACTCAGCTTAACCCCCTCAGCACTGTTACACAGATCAGTGTTGCAGCACTCATGTCCTTTGCTAACACACTCAAAACTGGTTGTACATGTTTTTTTAGAAATTGTGCTGCTCATTCCCTCTGTGAGAGAGAGAGAGAGAGAGAGAGAGAGAGAGAGAGAGAGAGAGAAAGATACAGAGCTGAAAACCATTTACAGATATTCATTGAACATTAAAACCCTAAAAAAATGAATCTGAATTTACTCCATTCTATGATGGCATTTTCAGTCTACTGTGTAAATAGACATTGAGAATAAAGTTGTAATATTACAAGATGCAAGGTTGTATGGCATGATATTTCAAGAAAAAAGGTCATAATGTTTCGACAATAAAGTCATTATATGTCAAGAATAAAGTCTTAGAATTACAAATAAAGTGGGATATTACACAAAAGTCACAATATTGTGGCCAAAGTCTTTGCAAAGGGAAGGCAGCAACCTCCTCATGTTAAAATGAGCATTGAGGAGCTGGTGGAGTTTCATATACTTTATATGAAATACTTTCATATTGATTTCACCCATAAAGAAATACTCAGTCTCCCTGTCTCTCCTGGCTCAACAGCACCAGCCTGTTATTAGTATAGAGAACGGCTGTGCAGGAAACTGTGTTTATTTGGGAGAAACGACCAGATGGACTTGGAGGAAACTGCCTGTTTTATTAAAGGAGAATCGCAGGCAGTGGCCGCCCACATGGCTACTGGCAGTTAGCCTTGTAGATGGCTGTGCCATTCGAAGAGGGCATGTAGTTTCACAGCAGACAGTGAGAATAATCATGAAAATGATCGATCCTGATGGAGTGAGTGGAACTCCGGCGTGCTCTGTGTCTTCGACCTCACCAGCACAGCAACCCCAATGCATTATGGCAGCCCCCCTACAATTAGCCTACTTTATCCATGAAATATCACAAGTTTATTCATGTAACTTTATGACTTTATTTTTGAAATTTTACAACTTTATTCTCAAAATATTATGACTTTATTCTCAAAATATCATACTGTATGCCTTTTTTCTCTAAATATTATGACTTAATTTTTAAAATATTACGACTTTAAAACCACATGAATTTCACATGTGAATAATCAGATCTCACATTATTTTTCACAAACTTTTGAAAAAAGTATCACATGTTGATAAATGTTGTCACAAGCGATAATGTTCTCTTACTTGAAAAAATATGCTCACATATGAAAACATCTGAAAATGCATTCGCATGTGAAAAAATGTGATTACGTACCATTTCATATTATTCCCATGCGTTTACTTGTAAATGTGTTTTTACATTTTAGATGTGAAATATATGTGTTTTTTCCTTCATCACTGATTTTTCCCTTGGAAGTTTAATTACTGTATAGTTGTTGCTATTTTGAAGATCTTGCAAGTATCTTATGGTGATGTGTCTGAAACAGGTAGCATATTCTTAATGTTTCTGAAGATTTGGTGATGAAAATATTAATAGCATTATGAAGCTGATTCTGCAGAACTTAAGGTGCAACATCAACATGCAACTTTCATACAGCTCAGTGTTTACATCAATTACATTTGAAATTTACTGTGTTAGTAACGATCATTTACAGACTTTTTCTGATGAATTACAAATAGGCAGATATTTGAGGATGTGAGCTCTTGAATTTCATTAATTCAGAGATGATCCAGCCTCTATTTCAGCTCAGTATCACAGAATATGTGTTTTTCAGACATTCTTTAATATTGAAACTGTTTTGGAAAGCTGATGTTGCATTTTAAATCTGATCATCATCTTAAAGTGGATTTAAACTTTACTGCTGTGAGACTGTGAGTCATGTGTTGGAGAGTCTTAGATGAGGTTGAGCTTCATTTCTTACTGTATTTGGACAGGCAGCGATCTTTATGTATAGAACACTCCATAGACACACATGCTTTCCCAACGCCTGTGCAACACTTCAGAGCTGCAGAAGCCTGTAAAGCTTCACAGATAAAGAAACAAACAATGAAACATAAATCTAAACAAACAAATTTAAAGAAGCATGTTTGACTAGCCTTTTCACAAAGACTGAGAAAAGCTAGAAAAAAATAAAGTAACAAAACTAACATTTAGTTTTTCATTCTGAAATGATTTATGATTATTACTGACTGTTCTGTTCTAGAATAAGATGAGCTCTTTAAAAGTAAATGTTCAAAAGTCTAATGATGTTTTGCATTTTTTAGTACTGATAATGTTTATTTGTTTTAGGCTTATATTCCTACTAACACTCTGCACAACATTACAACTATGTAATGTAGATTATAAATAGAAGAGGGATGTTTAATAAAGATGTAACATTCTGAAAAACAAAACTCTCTGCATTTGAATATAAAGCATGTGATACTCAATACTGGTACCTTCAGAGAAAAGCATGTAGACGAGCATCAGAGTGACCAGCTTCTTCATGGTTGGAGGTTTTGAGAAGTTGAGAGTGTGATGGAGAGATTAGAGTGAACTTCATTTATACATACAGCTATAAGGAGGTGTGGCTTTGAGGACAATCTTTTAATATAGAATCCTTTGTGGTTTGGCTTTAGTGTCTCTGTGAGGGATGTGACACTGCCCTTGAGAAGGGCGCCGCCCATCTCTCACATCTAGTCTAACAGATATCATGGCTGCCCGCACTGTAAACTCAGATTAGTTGACAATATTCTCCTTTTACAAGTCCTGCTAATGCTCGAATTAGGAGCGTATTGGCATCAATTAAAGCAAATACATTACAATAAATGAACTGTTTGTACATTTCGTGCAATGAGTGACTCAGACTAAAATCAGCCATTTCTGAGAACTCTAATAGTTTAATACATGTACATTTTGCAAAGAGAATTACGTTTATAAATTAGAAAAATAAGAGTTAATTAACAGAAACTAAAAAAAATGCTAAGAATGCTGGGAAGATTTTGGGCTTCAGTCTGTAGGATTTACCCAAATGAGTTAGGTTTACCAAGGAACGGTATGTTAGAAGATTTGTATATGTTAGCAAAGTAAACCTAAAAACAAATTAAGCTGGCACAGTCAGTTTTCATGTTTTACAGTGTGTGGTTCAGGACTCAGAACTGGGTATTTCCATCATCAGGTGAAAGGTGACCATTCAAGACAGTCTGAGGCCTTCAGCCTGACTGAGAGTGACTCTTGCTGATGTCATTAAAAGAGCTGATTGTACGCCCTAATAACCAGTCATAGAGATAATGATTTTAATATTTAAAATCAGAGTCATGTATTCGATAAAGTTTGATTATTATGTCATTTGCATAAAAGTATAACTGCTTTGACCAAGTCTTTGTTAGATGGGGAAGACTCCTGTCGGATTTGCATGTGAGATTGTGTGTTTGTGTGAATGTGATGACCCGATGAGATTAGTTTCTTTATTTTTATCCTTTTTTCAGTTTCTATTTACTTTTTCATATTCATTTAATCCTAAATAAAAAAAAAACATTTTTGTCATTCAATTTTTTGATCTATTTTACTTTTTAAATTCAATATGGGGTCTTTTCTGTTTACTCTTTGGGGTACACTGCATCATAGAAATTATGAATGTATGTTACCCTTCCAAATTTTTACTTCACTCATGCTGTAGTAAATTACCCAATAGATTAATCATGTTACAGAGATCAATGTAGCGTTAGAGGAGTCTTTCCCAAAGTATAGGGTGACATGCTTAACCAGACTAGACCAGGATAGAATCCAAGTCTGCAACATGAAGGAAACAGTGTTTCCTCCTACATTATACCAAGCACAGCGTTAGTGTAGTTAGCTGTAGCTTAGTCTTAGTGGCTGTTTACATCCCTCCTTAGTGGCTGTGTGGCTTAGCAGTAGCGTAGCATGGCTTTGTGGAGGGATGTAAACAGCCACAACAATAACCACAGTAGACTCCCAATGAGGATAAAAGGGCCTACATCTTACTATGATGACCTCAAAATCAGGAGAGCAGGAGTGTTCAACAACAACTGAGTTGGTGCACCATTGGTCATTCACAAACAGACACAGTACACTGCCCTTTGTATTAAGTGATGTGGTCATGCACTCCATGCTATTAGCCTCTAGTAGGCTGCTATGAAGTCAGGGTCCAGTAAAAATAAAAACATTCCTGGTTTTTCAGTTCCTGGTTTGGAGATCTGTCATGAGTCTAGCTGCCATGAACCTGATGTCGTCCAGCTTGTTTTCAAGTGACTGGACATTTGTGAGGATATGGTATTCTGGTTAGCTTCACTAGCCTTGTCTGGAAACCCCCTCACCTGACCCACTTTTTTGTGTTCGCAAGTCTGTCAACAGCGTCTTCCAGTCTGAGGCGAAGCCTCTGGCCTCTGGAGTGAACAATGGACAGAATGAGACTGAGAAACAACTTAAACTCTTAACTTTGTATTTACAGCAATCACTTATTTCTTGTATTTGTGGTATACAGAGCTTAAATATACACAGTGTTCATAACCATATAATGCGTTATGGATCTGATCTAAGTTAAAGCACAGCAGAGCTGAGTGGTATTTATATTGTAGAGTGAAACATGGATGAATAAAGCAAAAATAGCACACAGGATTAAAGCAATAAAGGCAGTGTACTGTTCAGTGAACAACAGTGAACTACACTACACAACTATCTGGACTTCAGAATTCAGTTTTGACCAACAAACAAAATAAGAAACAATTCAAACAACTTCAAACAACTTTAAACTACCTGGACGATAAGTGACTAACCTACTTACATCTGTCCCTGAACACCAAACAAACACACACACACACACACACACACACACACACACACACCCCTGCAGGCAGAGTCACACTCTAAGAGACAAGAACTGCGATATACAGAATATCTATGAACCAGTAACGAGTCCTGTTGCAGAAGCTAACAGGCCAGTGAGAGCATCTCAAACAGTTCTGTGCAGAGTTACGAGAAGTGGACTGGAGTACTGGATTACACTGGATCGGCTGTTATTGTGAATTAAAAGCTTTATACTTGCATAAAACATTGATTTCTCTATTAAACTTTAAACCTTTTTTGTAAATGTGATTCTAATATAGTTACTAGGACAGTATTTTGATTTACTGGGTAAGTAAATAAATCTAAAACCTCTATAACTGATACTTAAAGCAGTGTTCTTAATATTGGCTTTTCAAAATATGACCTGAATACAGATCCTTTGTTTTTGTTTTCTGATTACATGTATTTCATTACATGCAACATACACGATGTTCATAATTTTTTAAGTGAACAAAGATTTGGTTGGTACAGCAGACTAACTTTTGAGACGTCTAAAATAGTGTCTGAGAGGCCTACTCAATTTTGACGGTGGTCTGGAATCTTGTGCGAAAACCCACAGTTCATACCTTTTGACAGAAATAGACTCCACAAAACCACATCCTGTCACAAATCTGCCAACAAAGCTGCTGTTCCCACAGTCATGGTCAATTTCTATTGCTATATCACTACATGATGAATGTTGTATTTTGTATATGTAGATGAACCTGAACATACTGAAAGGGTAAAATTACCATAAACTTACACATTATTATTCTTATCATACATATTGTTTCATTTGTTCATAGTGTGTTTTGTTATTAATTTTGATTGTAAATTACAAGTATTATTATTGTTGTTATTATTATTATTATTAATAATAATCATAATAATAATTTTCAAAACTCTATTGACTAGTCTATAGCTATGTGAAAAAGTAAGTACATTCTGTGAAATGTATAGACTTTTTCAGCATATTTGAACATACAGACATTCATTTAAACATTTAAACAATACTAATACACAAAAGTGATATATATATATATTATATATAATATATATCACTTTAATATATATTAATTCTGGTCTGATTTGCTCTCTGTTATCGGAGTGTGCGGTGTCATCATGCCTAGATCTAAAGAGCTCTCTGAGGCCTTCAGAAGGAAGGCTGTAGATGCCTATGAGTCTGACAAGGGGTTTTTTCACTGTCTGCTAGATCATCTAAAAGTAGAGAAGGTTTAAACCCACTGCTTGCACAGCTTGTCCAGGCCAGGCCACCTGAGCAAATTTAATCCAAGGTCAGACAGTCAGATGCCAAAAGACGTCTGTAAGAATCCTAAAATGTCATCATAGGATCTTCAGGTAGCTCTTGCTACCATTAAAAAAGACTGCACACATTTGATCTACATGGTAGGTGCGCCAGGAGGAAGCCTAAAAAGAACTGTTTAGAAAGAACATCAGGACACGACTAAAGTCTGCTAATGAATAATTAGGTAAGGACCAGGACCTCTGGAACAATGCGCTATGAACAGATGAGTCAAAGAAGTTTTGGTCGCTGGGTGTTGGGCCCATGTATGTGCTGCGTTGCACATGCACTCCAGTATCTTGGGGCCATGGGCTCGCATGGTAACAGTGACTGAAAGCTCGCCTAGTGTAATGTGGTTGTGCAAAAGTGACTGGGCATGCAAAAGCTATGAACCATCATGTTGTAACATCTGTTCACTCTTTGTCCTGGTCTTTCTCTGTTTTTGCCTTTTTCTTGGTTTCCCAGTGTTTTTGTATTTCTGCCATGTGCCTTTGTTTTCTTGTGACATGTGCTTTTGTTGTCATGTTGGCTCCTCCCCTGCCCTGCCCTGTCTTCACCTGTTCTTTGTCTCCTAGCCCCGCCCTCTCATTGGTCTCAGGTGATTCTTGTTTTCTGTTAGTATTTATATCCCTGTGTTTGCTCACTTCCTTTGTCTTGCATTGTCTATATACCCTGTTGCTGTTTCTTGTTTAGTTCTGTTTTACTTTGTTCGGTCATGTCATGGATTTATCTGTCCTACTCACCTCTGCCACTGTGTTTTTGGACTCTGTTGGATCTCACTTGAATAAAAGCAAATCACACTCGCATCCTGCCTCAATTCCTCCTATGTTACACATGTTCATTACAGCTGAGAGAAAAGTGACGAACTTGCGAAAGCTTGGGACCATTGTGTTGCGGCTGTACAAGAAGTAGGAAAATTTTTAAAGATGAGGCCTTTGAGATCTGAGACTGTGTTAAACGTTTAGCTAGAATTTAATGTAATTTCTAAGCTGTGACCACCACCAATAGCTTGCAAAAATAAGTCGTCTGAACAGATGTGAACAAGAGTGAGATGGAGAGCCAGCAACAGCACTGAGGAGTCTTTTTGTATGAGGCAATGACATTTTACATCAGAAATGCTGATTAATACTGAAAAAAACAATGTTATTCATGAGTGGACACTGGTCTATATGAGGGCACATACGCATGTGTGAAACACTCTGCCACCACAAGCCACACCAACCCTGAAAATATAAAGCTGTGCAGAGATGAATGTAACATTCTGCACGCAGTGGAATTCAGTACAACACTATTTGATACAACACTGATACTCTATAAGAAATGCGCTGAAGGCCATATTTTACAGGTTAAATGTAATTTAGGGTAAAATGGAACGGAAA